GTGTGTATATGTAAGCGTGTAAAACCTGCAGATAGTCAGATTAACAGTATTTTGTCTCTATCTGCCATTCTGCAATTCATCTCATGTAAACAATAACATGGTGCACAGCGTGACTTGAAAAAAGGCACATAACTTTGACGTTGCGTGAGGAACTCTGTATTCCTCGTCCACACGTAAACGCAAAAAAAGGAGATTTAAAAAATCTCAGTTTTCGGTGATTTGAAACGCCGTTTACGTGGACGAAACAGCTGCTTTTTCAAAAATACTTGTGTAGGTGTGGACGTAGCGTAAAAGAGTTAGTAGTTTATATTCTTACTACCTGTCATTTATTGCAGATTACTTGTATTTGCTTAATTGTTTACTAAATGTTTGAGGTGTGAAATGAACCGCAATGGAGCAAATTATGGGTGTGTGTGGTTGGAGGGTGTGTTTATGCGTGTGCGTGCGCGCGGGGGGCATGAACATTTTTCTTGTAAAACAAAGGGGGACCTAGCAAAAAAAGTTTGGGAACCACTGGGCTAGGGAAACCATTATGTCAATGAAGGTCCTCACTAAGATAGCTGAACGGGGTTGTGTGCGTGTGTGTGTGTGTGTATGGTAAGACTAAGAGAAAGAGACTGAGAAAGGGAGATGTACCTTTTTAGCATCCAGGGAGTTTGTTCTTGTTTCTGGGTTCACAGGAAGTTCGGAATATTTCTGTCAGAGCTCCAAGATGGCCTCCTTGGGGGGCAATCTTATTTACTGCAGAAGCAGTGAGAACAGAGTAGAGGTGTTCCTGTGCATTCCTCCATGTATCCCATCTGTAAGTGGGCAGCAGCAGTCTAGGTGGGAGCAGGAACAGCAAAGAGGAAATGCTGGTGTTTGTGTGCTTTAATGAGCCACAGGGGAGGCTAGGTTTGTGGAGCAGAGAACACAATACAACTTTCCCTGCAGTCAATCTGTCAAGATCAAGGTTTTTGAAAACAGATACAAAAGACACAGAATGGCTGTCCTGTTTTCAAAGAAGTATTTTGTCAACACAATTCAGTAGCATATCCTTAAACTGCTGTTTAAACTGCGCCATGCTCGGACTTTGCATTTCTAAGGGATTTCCCAAATAAGACTATTTTAGTTTTAGTTAGATTTAGAATCAGAATCAGAATCAGAAAGGGTTTTATTGCCAAATGTTGAGC